CGAATATACGAATTTCGTTTCATCAATATTTCTCAAGATTTCATTTATGAGAATATATTAAATAAATTACATGATTCACTAATTTTTTTTAGAGGTTTTTTTTTAAAGTAGAAGGTACAGTTAAATGACTATTATGATTATGACCATATTGTACTGTCCTTTTATTTGCAGTAAAAAATAGCATAGATGTTCTTTCCTATTATGTTAAAGTTATGTGTTCAGTGATATACATTCTGAGTTTAACTTATTATTAACCATGCTTTTCATTTTTCAGGTACAAAACAGTCAAAGAAAGAAACAGTCGGACTGGAAACAGCCGTCAGTCATGGCGGTATTTTGAACCGATGGAGGAAATGTTTGCTGGTGATCCAGCAGTTTTGCCAACAAATGTGGTTTCATCTATGCGTCCAGAACCTACACCTGCTCCTGTTGATACTGCCGACATTTCTCAAATATCTGAAGAGGAACCTTCTGTGGATGTACCCATGACTTCTACACCAAGGATCCCACGTAAAAGGCGTCGTTCCAGTATGGATTCTGAGGACCCTCCTCAGTGGTTTGAGAGGTATCAGCAGAATCAACAGAAGATGCATGAAGAGAGGATGCAGATTGAAAATAGACGAGTCACTGCCTTGGAGAGTTTAGTAAAACTCTTTCAAGAAAAAAAGTGAAGTTTGCAACATGTTAATAACGTTCAAACACATATAAGTACAATAGTCGAAAGAACTAGTTATGTTTAAAAACTAGGCTAATTTCATTTTTATGTTGCTTGTGGTGACATACAGGGCATTGATTGATAATATAACGCTTAGAAAAAACATTTTGTATAATTTATGTATGACATTGACCATCATGGTCATGTCATGTTATGAATTAATAATGCTATACTTTGTTTCACTTTATTAATTGATGGCTTTGATACTTGCACAAAACAATGGTTATGACAAAAACCAAACTTTATTTGAGCTGTGTCACGACAAAACCAACATAATGGGTTTGCGGCCAGCATGGATCCAGACCAGCATGCGCATCCGCGCAGTCTGATCAGGATCCATGCTGTTCGCTATCAGTCTGTCTACTTGTTATAGGGTCTGTATGCGAACAGCATAGATCCTGATCGGACTGCTCGGATGCGCAGGCTGGTCTGGATCCATGCTGGTCGCAAACCCATTATGTTGGTTTTGTCGTGACGCGGCTCATTTGTTATTTGTGGACAGATTGGCCCCGCTTGCAGTGGCTCTTGATGTTACTCATTTTAGTATAGTTATGAAATAAAAAAACTCGTATTTTGTTATGAATATTTTATTAAACAATATCTGTAAGTTTAATTCAATATCATTTGTCAAATAAATTCTTCAATCTTATTTTGTATTCCTTGCTTTCTATAAGAAATAATGTTCATGAAAATGAACAGGACTTGGTTCACAATAACATCACTTCAATTAGTTACAAGAATGCTCTCCTCTGAAAAAAACTGATTAACCTCTGCTAGAAAGAAATTAACTGAACCAATTTATGCTAGCAAGTTCATAATGTCATTCCGCTTAACTGTCCCTGTAGTACATGTTTCTTCCAAATTTGGATTGCCAGCTCTTGCATCATCATCATCATTATGTAGGATATCTTTTTCAACATAAGATTCCTGTATTAAGATGAAGTTGTGAAGAACACAGCAACTGATAATAATATTGGGAATCATTGTAACTTTCGTCACATCCAAAAACTTTAATTTGCGAAACTTTCCTTTTAATAATCCAAAACACCTTTCTATATCCACCCTAGTAGAACTGAGGGCAAAATTAAATTTCTTTTGCTCACTGGTAAGATGGCCGTTGTCTCGAAATGGCACTAGTAAAAATGATGACAAGCTATAAGCTGAATCCCCTAAAAGGTGGAATGCTTGTGGACAGTCCATTTGCAAATAGTCATGCAAGGTACTATTCCTAAAAACTCTTGCGTCATGGACTGATCCAGGGTATGCAGAGTACACATCCAGAAATTTCAGAGAGCTGTCACATACACCCTGAAGATGAAATGCAGGAAATCCTTTGCGACATATATATGAATCCCTAAATTCAGTAGGTCCTGTTATTGGAATGTACGTCCCATCAATGGCACCAATTACCCCCGGGAAACCCTGTCGCTGGGCAAACCCATCTGCAATATCTCCATATTGTCGTTTGTCGGGCCAAGATATAAGTTTGGGGAGAATGTTTGCACTACTCAGTGTATTGCAAAAATTTCCCAAGTAATAATGTAGAGAGCCTTTACTCATGCCAAAGCGATCAGCAACACTGCGGAAGGTTTCTTGGTTACTCAGGTACCAAAGGCAGGCCAATGTTCTCCGTTCAAGGCTCAATGACCTCACCACAGTAAAAGGTCCAATCAGCTCCAAAAGGGACTGTAAAATAAAATAATAAAAAAATAGTTACTTTGAAAGTATATAAAGTATTTACATGTGATGGGATTGAAAAATAAACATTTTATTTTTACTTTAAAGGCGTTTTTAGCTCCATACCCCAAGTGTCTGAGACAAAGTCTCGATGTTAATGTTCACCATTTACAATATATATCTAGGACTAATAATTTTTGATACTGCATAATTTCATTGCTTTCCGTGCCATAAATAGCCCCTTATTTTGTATTAATCAGTGAGGTTTTTTTAAAGCAAGTTTAGCATGGATATTATACGTTCACTTTGTGTTTCAACAATCAAAAATAAATGCATTCAAATTTAATAAGTCTCGTGGTACGAGGTCTCCATGGTACGAAGTCTGAATATTTCTGGTAAGAAACTGACGATCTTGTCCTGTTTTTTATTTTAATCTCACTTTTGATATATAATTTGCTTGCCAACATTTCAATTTTTATCGATAATTATCTTAACAACATTATAGAGAAGTTAAAGTATTTGTATTTACTTGAAATGACGTTCTTGTCATACAGAAATGTGCTCGAAACAATGGATCGCTGTATCTCGGCACAGTTTCTTCCACATAATTTGAAATTCTTGCAGTTCCAAGCAATACAGCTCGTTTTCTTGTCCGTAAAGCAAGAGCCTCGGCAACAGGGTCACTTTGATTTATTTCCATATTATCTCCTAACTCATCAAATACAACTTGTAATATAACGTTTTCTAAGTCTGTGTTATTCGACGCCATCTTGGATTTTAAAGTGGGCGCTTGCAAGCGTTCAATAGTAAAATAATTCGCGGAGCAGCTGGTGCTCGCTCGAGCGCTAACTTTGTTGAACGTACCTCAGATGATCATATCTAAGATTTGAAGTTTTTAACATAGCATTGTTTACATAATAAGGAATATCATGTAACAAAGAACGATATAATAAATCTTATCATCTTTTGATAATGAAGGTGTAATGATTTTGTTTCATGCAAAATCAGATAAACAAACCGAAGGCTATGAGATGAGACCTCCGTGTAACGTCGAGGAAAAAAAGGTTTAATCAAAGACGGTAAGTAGTTATCATAAACTGTTCAAAGACAGCTTTTATCCAGTATTCATAATTTGAGATCGATACATTTACATTTAAGAACACCAAAAATTGCAATATATGCTCACTTGTTATAAATGATAACAGTAACAACACTTCGTCGAGAGACACATTAAGATTTTTTTTCAAATTAACTCATTTCTTATATTGTTCTTTTATTACAGATAAAGAGTCTTATATCTATTATACAACTACATCATTCTCTATTATGTAACTACCTAAAGGTAAACATAGAAAATATAAATCTCACATTTATTAGGAATACAAAAATGTGTCAAATTTACATAGCATTAAAATGCATTTTGCAGATGCTAGACGTCACATTTTGCTCAGTAAGTATTGTTGGATAAAAACTTTTTAATTGATAGTAAACATTGTAGATGAATATGAAATCCCCTTTACTAGGTGTTAAAATATATGTCAATAATCGTTTACACTTAAACTTGAGTTTATAGAAAGACAACAAAATGTTCCGATAACAATTATTTTCTTAGACAAATAGTCTGATGCATATTTGTCAATCGTTTTCTTACTTAGTGCCCAGAAATATTAAAATAATCAGTTTTTAGGTAATTATTGTTTTGATAAGAAATGCTGAATTTACTTTATTAACACTCGTACATATTATGACAAGGATTATTTATCCTTTTTCACTACGTATAATGCTTAAACTGCAAAAGTTCCAAGAAACATCGATATATATGTCATCAAGAATTAAGTATTTTTCACAATGTCTCGAGTGTGTAATATATCAATAATTTCAACATGAAGTTCATTATAGCTTTTGTTCATTGAAAAACGGTGTGTCAGGTTTGTTCGATATATATTAATTGGAGTATCTTTTATAATAAATTTGGGGCTGTTATAAAGTTTAGAGTACAATATTGAAATAGATTGGTCGAGTACACAGCTACTAAACCTTTATGTGATTGAGGCGCTTGTATTTCTCTCTACAATGTATAAGGACCTCTTTATTTCATATTTTCAGACATTTTGACAGTCAAGTACAGAAAGAATTGTTGACACTGAAATCGAAAATGAGGCTTTGCAATTAATAAATATAGATACAATTGACTCTAGAAATGTAAACGAGGGTAATGTTGGGTACAATAGTCATTTGATTGAACTTGTTAAGGGACTGCAATGGATATAAGGGTTTTCAATTTTGTATGTGTGTCTTGCATTGTGTTGTTGTGAATATCAAGGTTTTTGTGTCCATGTACTCGTATGTGTAATGTTACGTCTAATTCAAGGTGTTATATAACAATGAATGTACTCAATGCCAAAATAAATCTTATCTTGTCTTATTTTAGGAATAGAAGCGATACTAAATTTATAAGATTGGACCGGATGATGATTTCTGTTGGAACATCACGTGGTTAAAGCGCTGAGTGTTCATTGCTTATAATTCATTTGTTGTGACTAAAATGGTTTTATTCCATATTATTTGTGATTTCTATAAAGAAATATGATCATGAAAAAAAGCTTAATAATGAGCACCATAATATTCCGCGTACTATGACAAACTGTCCTTCATAGCAAAATTATTATGCTACATTTTATCATACCAAGATCATTATCCCGAATGATATACAGCTTAAAACTTTGTCAACCTTATTAGGCTGTATTTCTCATATTAGATCTTAGTCTGTCTGAAGGGAGCAATCAATTTTGTCAAACCGTCAAAGAAGATGACAAAGTATGTAAATATAATAAGGAGACCAGGGGCTGAATAACAATTTGACAAACAAGATATGAATACATTCTGTTCTTGGCCTGGAAATATTTCTCTTATAATTTTAGAAAATTATAATATAATGTATTTTCATTTTGAAAAAGACCTTGCATATAAGTGTACAAAGGTTACGGTTTGTATAACATGTATAAACATTCCTTTCCTAATGAGTTTCCTTATTAGTCGTAAATAAAAACACTGTCGCAAAAACGAACACAATATGTTTGCTAAACATGCATATTTCTAATGAATGTTTTATATCACAGTATAAACGTATACGCTTTGAATCTCCATGACCTGTTTGAGATCGTCATAAAAACAGATTACTGTCAATGACTTTTCCTGGAACGTTTTCAACGTGAAAAAAGGTTTTGTTTCTATTCCGTTTTACTGATAAAATATTGTTATGTTATTATTAACACGGCATTCGAATGGCGAATGTCGACACAAGTGCAATATTGTGAACATTAATGCATGTTTTGTTTTACGTTGTATACCCCTGCGTAAGGCTTTGTATGTAAAAAAGGGGCCAATAAACTAAATGCTCTTCAAGTCCATTTTAACATGTATAAGAGCCTCTGCAATAGATAATGCAAGAAAACGGTGCATAAGCGTTATTCTCGCCTACACATGTATTGTCTTATTCGGCAATTCATCGTTAACATGTTTTTCTTATAACGAAACCATTGTGTTATGCTGTCCACGTGCTGTTGCAATTTTATTTGACAGTAATGTAATAGGGGCAATTATATTGTAATAAAGGTGACTCTATACATATATTCAACTGACAATGGTATCTTAACGAATGATATCAACGATTTGCGTTACCTCTACAACTTATTTAACATACTGTCATTATAGATACATGTAATTTCTTTCCACATATTACAGGTTATCGAAAACGTCTTATTTTATTATGATGAGCAAGTGATTTCATTGCTTTTATGAGACACCAAGCAAGCACAGCGTTCAAACATAACAAAGAAATAAGACGGAAACAAAATTTCATTTAACGGTCGACTAAGAATAGTTTAAAGGGTCAACTTTAAAAATTAGTTCGTTCTTTAAAAATTAACAAGATAAAAACATATTAATTATTATAGAGATTTTAACAAGTTACTAAAATGTCAACTTTTATATAAAATATATTTACAAACATAGAATTAATTCATAGAAAAACATTATTAAGAGTAACTACCTATTGAACAGTTTATATTTGAAAAAAGTGTAGCAAGCATAACATGGCTGTGAATGACCACACATAACCTTGGCAAGGGTTGAATACAATGCTACTTTGGTGAATATTTGTTTAGATCTCCTTTTGTGAACTTGTAGGCTCAAGAAGAAGCGTTTAGGCACGGAAATTACAGAACGTCCGGACAGTCTGTGTAAAATATGAGAACAATGACCAACAAGGAAGTGGCAGCCCGTAATAAATGCCAGCAACACAGAACCACCCGCACATAATTCCACACGGTAATCCAGAAGAAAGGGGAGAACACTCGCATCAGTTTGTTTAGAACAGACAACAAAGTTTGATGTGGTATTCGCCCAACCAAGCCCATCTAAACTGCAATAAAATGCAGTTTTAAAGAACATAATGCTAAACAATGCAATGGATTTCGGGATATCATGGAAAAATTGATTTTAGAAAAAAAAAATTTATAAATGCGATAAAAATGTTTTTTTTTAAACATTAATACGTATCATTATGTTCAAATTGTTTTGATCAAAGGAAATATAATCATTTTAACATATTACATGTCCAAACATGTAGTATAAACAAGTTTCCACTGAAAAAAGCTCTTACTTTAGCATAAAATCAATCTAGAAAAAAACACGGAATTATGCGTAAGCCAATCCTCATAAAAATGTTTTTTAATTATCTAAATGCACAACGTAAGGAGATAAAAGAAAGATGTAACATTCACGTCAATCATTTTAAATTCTATAAGTTAGATGTTTTATCTAGACAATGGAATGGCAAAACATATCTGGTAAGCAAGTGTGAAATGTTCAACCGTAAACAAGATATCAATTATCCCTTTAAAAAAATATCAATTTTGCGGATGTGTTGTTTCCTGACATAAAGACGCAATGTCGTAAATTTCCTTCATGACTTGTACCCGTTCATTCATATCAGAACATCACGTGTAATGAGTGTTTTGTCTATTAAAATATGATTCTCGAAATAAATCATCGGAATAATGGAGAATTTAAATAATCTATTTCAAATATGTATGGATACATAATATCTGAAATGAAATTGTTTATATTTGTCATTATTAAAAAACAGGACAAGAAAGAGAGGAATAATGAAGAAGCAACTTGCTGTTATAAGAATTCTGTGAGAGTCATTTTTATTTAAATATTTTTAGACGAAGAAATTACATTCGATTTTAAAATGAATTAAAAAATATATAGCAGTGACCAACTAGTGTGAAATTAGGATAAAAATAACACAAACAATCGGAAATATCGTAAGAAATTGTTATGTCCCCAATTCATATACACCATAACAGGAAGCAAATCAATTTAAATCGGAAGAAAACTGAGAAACCATGCATAGTTATATTTTCAACATTAACATTATAATGTCATATCAATATCCCATAAAATAATAATCCATTCTTGTTTGCTTTATGGAAGTGACTTCACATATTGCTACATATGCATTGTTTGTTACAACAGCAACATACTAGGTAGAACAAGTTAACAGTGAAAGCATACCGAACACTGGTAAACTTATAAAATAGAAGAAAAACAAAATAGTTCCCTTAGCAATTTTGAAATATCAAATAATATGTTTTGTTATTGGATTTAAGTAGTTTATAATAAAATGCATCTTCATGAAACGATATCTTAGGATACTTGACATAATGTATCATTTAAAAAGCCACCCAAGGCATAAAAACAAATAAATATTTTCATATTTATCAGATTAATAATGAAAATGCTGCTGTATCAATAAACTGTAATACATGTACATGT